TTCTGTCTTGCTTGGTGGTAATATTAAGATAATTGTCTCTTATTTGTTGCCTTGGCGCATCAGAGGGAAGTGTTATGATGATGTGGGGAGTTATTGCCGAGCTCTAGCCGGCAACTATATTGAAAATGAAAGTAAAAACAGGTTGAACTTTTTTTTTTAACAAAATCAGCTGAGACGGCAGAGTTTGTCTGTTAGAGCCGAAGCTCAGATCACCCGAGACTGCGGGGGATTGATGGGGACAGACATCTTTAGGAGCGGCTTGTTAAAAAAAAACTTAATGATCGCAGCTTCAATTGCAATACAAAGAAAGTTATGTCCAAGATAAACAGAAATCCACCACAGAGACCACCTCCATACCTCCTTTATGCCATTGCCTAATCTTTTCTAGAATGGACACAATTGTGCCACATTACCGCCACGTTCTGACCACTAACCTAAGGCTCCCTGATGCAGCCACAGCATTGCAACTGACTGACGGCTCATGGTCTTGAGTTGGTAAAGGGTAGAATGCCTTCTCCGGGTCAGGAATGAGGTCTTGCCTCAAGTGGAGGAGTTTATCTCTGGATCTTCATGAGTGAGGTAAAGAGAGGACAACTCCGGAAAGCTGCTTTAAGTTTTCTAGCCACTTAAGTTGTGTAGCCAGTAGTTGTCCAGATTTTTCACCACTCTCATCAAAACTTGTTTTCAGCTTTAACAATGCAAACTCTGCCTTCTTATTATAAATTTCGTGGAGATTACATTTTGATTGACAGATCCTTCTAAATTTGCTTTCATCATATTTCTCTGCTAACTGTTTGTCCAAATCACTGATTTGATAATGTTGTCACAAGCTGTTCATCCTGCAATATATTGCCGTTTAACCTCCATCTACAGTGACAGTTCTTATCAACCTAAAAATCTATATGTAGTTCCAATGGGGCGTGATCTGTTAGCGTGATTACCCCTATTTTGCAATTTACAATCAAGTCCATGCTCGACCCAGACGTTAAAAAGTAATCGATCCTGGAATGACTTTTATGAGGATGGGAATATAATGTATATTCCCTTTCGGTAGGATGCGTTAATCTCCAAATATCTATCAATGCCAGTTCCTCCCCTAGTATGTTTATCATTTTATTTTTACTGTTGGGGCCTATCTTTGTTCCACTCTTGTCTAAATAAAAGTCTGGAAACTGATTCCAATCTCCTCCCATCACGACACGTCATTCCAAATCACTTAGGATCTTAATAATTTTTTAAGTGAAGTCTGGTTCTTCTTTATTAGGGGCACATACATTACAAATTATTATTTTAACACCATTTATAAGGGCTTGAAGACATATAATACATCCCTCTACATTTTTACATTCTTGCAATAACACAAAATCAAGCTTGTTATTGACAAGTAAGACACTGAGTTATGAAACACTTTCCCCACCCATTCTCTTTTCATTTTTAAAGTCTCCGTTTCATTTTCAAAGTGTGTTTCTTGTATAAGTGCTATATCTGTGTTATGTGATTTAAAATAATTAAGGTTTTTTTTTCCTTTTCACAGTTGTGCTACAACCATTAATATTCCAAGTTACAATATTAACACCTGGTGAACCCATCGCTTATATTGAAAATAAGTTGCATCCAACTTTCCTCTTTGCTGTACAGCTTATGATAGCATCTCAACGTTATTGTTTTAACAACAAAAGTTCTTATCTCAATGTTGAACAATTTCTCATAACTAAAAAAGCATAACAGAAAACATAACACTGAACATAGCAGTGTAAACGCCTTTCCAGCGTCAGTCACTTCCTGTCTAGTCCGTGTGGGTTTCAAAGACGAGCCCTCTGCTCCCATTCTTGTCTCATATCTGACCGTGCCAGTGTCTTCCCATCCTCCGTCCGCATTCATTCTAGTAGTTGTAGATTCTCTGCTTTCCCAGTTTCAATGTTTAAGCCGGCGTGTCTGTGCCATCCATCTTGTTCCGTTCAACTTCTGAGCATTCACCCTCCGCTCCATTTTCCTGTGCTTTCTCCATCTTCTGCTGTTGTGTCCTTGGGCAAGACACTTAATCCACCTTGCTTGCTGGTGGTGGTCAGAGGGACCGGTGGCGCCTGTGCTCGGCAGCCTCGCCTCTGTCAGTGCGCCCCAGGGCAGCTGTGGCTACATCGTAGCTTATCCCCACCAGTGTGTGAATGTGTGTGTGATTGGATGAATGATACACTGTAGCGTAAGGCGCTTTGGAGTCCTTACTCTAAGAGGCGCTATACAAGTGCAGATCATTTATCATTTTTCATTTAGGGAATGCGTTGAGTGGCAGTTCTACAGCACAGTCAGTTTAATACCAATCAGCATTCTCATATTTCAGACTCCACCCATTTTTTGTTGTCTTACCATGCCATCTGTGATGTACTTGCAGTTGATCTTGAGGAACTTCTCTGTAAGGGCCTCTTCCTCCTCAGAGGTGGATAACACCACTTTAGACTTGTGGATGGATGGGAACACTAGGGGGTGGATGCCTTCTGGTCTGGGGGAAACATCAGAATCCTAAAAAAAGAATGAGATGTGGTGAGGGGAGTCAATATCAACAGGAAAAACATTCTGGACCTTTATTTTCTGCATGCTCAGAATAACATTTAAAAAAAGTACAAGTTAATTTTTAAAATCTTTCAAAAATATTTACCAAAAAGTATACAAAAAAAAATCCAAAAGCTGTTTTTAACCAGACAAACTATTAGAGAACACCATCCCAGTAGCCTAGCGGTAGAGTGCCCATGCAGGGACTGGGAGATTGAGGTTAAAATTCTGATAGTCCAAACAAAGATTTAAAAAAAATGGGACCCAATGCCTCACTGCTTGATACTCAGTTTTAAGGCATTGGATTGGGGGATTACACCACCAAATGATTTCCGAGCGCAGCTGTGTCTGCGGCTCACCACTTCCCTAAGGGATGGGTAAAATGTGGAGGACAAATGTTACACACACCATTGTGTGTGAGACAGCTAGTGGGGCTTCAACTTTTGCAGTCATTTTACACAGGAATGTGAGCTTTATACACATTTGGGTAGTTTCCCTTTAACATTAATTTTTTTAAGTCGTCGTCGTCGTCTTCCTCCGCTTATCCGGGTCCGGGTCGCGGGGGCAGCATCCCAACTAGGGAGCTCCAGGCCGTCCTCTCCCCGGCCTTGTCCACCAGCTCCTCCGGCAGGACCCCAAGGCGTTCCCGGACCAGATTGGAGATGTAACCTCTCCAACGTGTCCTGGGTCAACCCGGGGGCCTTCTGCCGGCAGGACATGCCCGAAACACCTCCCCGGGGAGGCGTCCAGGAGGCATCCTGACCAGATGCCCAAACCACCTCAACTGGCTCCTTTCGATCCGGAGGAGCAGCGGTTCTACTCCGAGTCCCTCCCGAATGTCCGAGCTCCTCACCCTATCTCTAAGGCTGAGCCCGGCCACCCTACAGAGGAAACTCATTTCGGCCGCTTGTATCCGCGATCTCGTTCTTTCGGTCATTACCCAAAGCTCATGACCATAGGTGAGGATTGGGACGTAGATCGACCGGTAAATCGAGAGCCTGGCTTTCTGGCTCAGCTCCCTCTTCCCCACGACAGATCGTCTCAGCGTCCGCATCACTGCAGACGCCGAACCAATCCGCCTGTCGATCTCCCGATCCCTCCTACCCTCACTCGTGAACAAGACCCCGAGATACTTAAACTCCTCCACTTGAGGTAGGACCTCTCCCCCGACCCGGAGGTGGCAAGCCACCCTTTTCCGGTCGAGAACCATGGTCTCGGATTTGGAGGTGCTGATCCTCATCCCAGCCGCTTCACATTCGGCCGCGAACCTACCCAGCAAGAGCTGAAGGTCAGAGCTGGATGAAGCTAGGAGGACCACATCATCCGCAAAAAGCAGAGACGAGATTCTCCTGCCACCAAACTCGACACACTCCACACCACGGCTGCGTCTAGAAATTCTGTCCATAAAAGTGATGAACAGAACCGGTGACAAAGGGCAGCCCTGGCGGAGTCCAACCCTCACTGGGAACAGGTCCGACTTACTACCGGCTATGCGGACCAAACTCACGCTCCTCTGGTAAAGGGACTGAATGGCCCTTAACAGAAAGCCACCCACCCCATACTCCTGGAGCGTCCCCCACAGGGTGCCCCTGGGGACACGGTCATAAGCCTTCTCCAAATCCACAAAGCACATGTGGATTGGTTGGGCAAACTCCCATGCCCCCTCCATCACCCTTGCAAGGGTATAGAGCTGGTCCACAGTTCCACGGCCAGGACGAAAACCACATTGCTCCTCCTCTATCTGAGATTCAACTATCGATCGGACCCTCCTCTCCAGTACCTTGGAGTAGACCTTTCCAGGGAGGCTGAGGAGTGTGATCCCCCTATAGTTGGAACACACCCTCAGGTCACCCTTCTTAAAGATGGGGACCACCACCCCGGTCTGCCACTCCCTAGGAACTGCCCCCGATGACCACGCAATGTTGTAGAGACGTGTCAACCATGACAGCCCTACAACATCCATAGCCTTGAGATACCCAGGACGAACCTCATCCGCCCCCGGGGCTCCGCCGCTGTGTAGTTGTTTGACTACCTCAGCAACTTCTGCCCCCGAGATCGGACAGTCCATCCCCAGGCCTCCCAGCTCTGGTTCCTCCTCGGAATGCGCATTGGTGGGATTGAGGAGCTCCTCAAAGTATTCCTTCCACCGTCCGACTATAGCCTCAGTTGACGTCAGCAGCTCCCCATCCCCACTGTAAACAGTGTGAGCGAGTTGCTGCCTTCCTCTCCTGAGGCGCCGGACAGTTTGCCAGAACCTCTTTGGAGCCTCCTTGAACCGTCACCTTATCGTGGTGGAGGAGTTTGAGTGCCCTAATGATCCTAGGAGCTATGTTGTCTGGGGCACTTAGTGCCCCTGGTAGGGTCTCCCATGACAAATTGGTCTTAGGTGAAGGGTGAGACAAAGAACGGTTCGAAGGATCTTTCATGGCGGTTAAAACGAAGAGTCGGAGTACCCGGCCCGGAGGGTTACCGGGGTCCCACCCTGGAGCCAGGCCTGGGGTTGGGGCCGGTGAGCGAGCGCCTGGTGGCTGGGCTTTCGCCCATGGGGCCCGGCCGGGCCCAGCCAGAACCGGATACATGGGCTCGTCCAACTGTGGACCCACCACCCGCAGGAGGAACATGAAGGGTCCGGTGCAATGCCAATCGGGTGGCAGACCAAGGCGGGAGCCTTGGCGGTCCAATCCCCGGACAAGAAAACTAGTTTTTGGGACATGGAACGTCACCTCGCTGGCGGGGAAGGAGCCGGAGCTTGTGGCAGAGGTTGAGCGGTACCGGCTAGATATAGTCGGACTCACCTCGACACATTGCATTGGCTCTGGAACCCGAGACCTGGAGAGGGGTTGGACACTCTACTTTGCTGGAGTTGCTCCGGGTGAGAGGCGGAGGGCTGGGGTTGGCTTTTTGTTAGCCCCGAGACTCTCTGCCTGTGTGTTGGGGTTTACCCCGGGGGACAAGAGGGTAGCTTCCTTGCGCCTTCGGGTCGGGGAACGGGTCCTGACTGTTGTTTGTGCTTATGGGCCAAATATCAGTTCAGAGTACCCACCCTTTTTGGAGTCCCTGGGACGAGTGCTAGATAGTGCTCCATCAGGGGACTCCATTGTCCTGCTGGGGGACTTCAATGCTCACGTGGGCAATGACAGATTGACCTGGAGGGGTGTGATTGGGAGGAACGGCCCACCTAATCTGAACTCGAGCGGTGTTTTGTTATTGGACTTCTGTGCAAGCCGCAGTTTGGCCATAACGAACACCATGTTCGAACATAAGGATGCCCACCGGTACACTTGGTACCAGGGCAGCCTAGGTCACAGGTCGATGATAGATTTTGTAGTCGTATCATCTGACCTGCGGCCGTATGTTTTGGACACCCGAGTGAAGAGAGGGGCGGAGCTGTCAACTGATCACCACCTGGTGGTGAGTTGGATCAGATGGCAAGGGAACATGCCGCGTAGACCTGGCAGACCCAAACGCATAGTGAGGGTCTGCTGGGAACGCCTGGCAGAAGAACCTGTCAAGACGGTCTTCAACTCCCACCTCCGGCAGAGCTTTGACCACGTCCCGAGAGCAGTGGGGGACATTGAGTCCGAGTGGGCCTTGTTCCACTCTGCGATTGTCGAGGCGGCTGTTGCTAGCTGTGGTCGTAAGGTGGCCGGTGCCAGTCGTGGTGGCAACCCCCGTACCCGCTGGTGGACACCAGAGGTTCGGGGAGCCGTCAGGCTGAAGAAGGAGGCCTACAGGGCGTGGCTGGTCTGTGGGTCTCCGGAGGCAGCAGACAGGTACCGGATAGCCAAGCGGGGTGCAGCAGTGGCAATTGCCGAGGCTAAATCTCGGGCGTGGGAGGAGTTTGGTGAGGCCATGGAGAAAGACTAATTTTTTTAAGGTTTTACAAAACTCAAATATTTTTCTGTCGAGACATCTTTTTTTCTAGTCTGGGTGCAAGTGGGGTAGTGTGATGGCATCACACTTGAATCAGTCACTGGAAGCAAGTGGGATGGGGTGGTGGCATCAGCTGGCGTAGGCCAGACGATGCCCGCACTGCCCGCTCACCACAGCCATGGAATACACCTAATCATCACGCACTAACACTATATTGGAGCAGGCGGAGAGAGACTAGGGGTCTTAGCACACCTCTGCTGTCACTTGGCTTCCCAGGGCTGGAGGCTAGGAGGGAGATCCGGCCATCTGGTTGGGGTCTGGGGTGGTGGGTTGCTTTGCTCAGCATTGGGTGGGGGAGCCTGCTCATCATCACCTTAGCAGAAAGGGTCGAACTCTGGGAACCGGTAATGGTTGTACCCCATGTGCAGCAGTGAAAAGGGTGTGTATGGGGAGCATGAGTGGGTGTCCGACATGCATTTTTGTAAGTCTTTGAGTGTATGTGTGTGTGTGAGCATGAGGGAGGGAGTGTGTGACTTTGTCTGTGTATGACTGTATATGTCAGGTGGGGCCTTTGACTCCTCCCCTCTCCCCTGGGACTTCTTTTGATGATATACATCTTTGTCTCCCCTCCCCTGCCACACCTGGTGCGGAGTGTGGTGCCTTGGTTTGCCTCAGTGTTCGTGGCTGCCATGACAGGGGGCTTAAGATTTTTGGCTTCTTCCTGATCAATCCCAGTGTCTGCCTGGTGGGATCTGGGTCCCTGGGCTCTGCTGGGTCCCTGGCGGGGGTGGTCGCCCCTGGGTCCCGGGTTGCTGGGTTCCGGGCTCGGCCGGCTTGGGGGTGGGATGCTGCAGGTGGGCCTGTGGGCTTGCCACTGATATCTCCCGGGACTCTGCCGGCTACTCTGTTGTGGCTCCCCGGGGCAATACACTGCGCCTCTCGAGAGGGGGCTGGGATTTTTCTGGTTACAGTCTCCTTGGGGTCCCTGCGCTCTGGGGAAGCTCCTGGATCTCTGTGGCTTGGAGCTCCCTCCATCTCCTACGCATCTTTGGGAGCAGATCTGTGGCCCTTCACACTCACTATTGCATGCTCCTATAGAGAAACCTTACAAATACAAGGGCATGTACGCACATAGGTGCTCACATAGTGCTCTCATGAGTATGGACATGAGCATTATCAACACGTCTTAAGGCTGTGGTTGGCACTAAATGCACTGTGATTTATTATTGTGTGATTGTTCAGTAAAACAATGTTGATTTTACATTTCTTCATCAAGTTGACGCAGTGATAGCTTGCTCCTGTTGTATTGTTGTGTGTCCCTTTTCTGCAGGTCTAGAAGCAGACTCTTGTTCATCACTGATTGTTTATTTTCGTGGGAAATCGACTCATCCAATCAGTTTCATCATAAATGTCATCACCGACAAACCAACTTCTAGTTGAGCTAACTTTTTATTGTGGACAAAAGCTAACAGGCCTTTAGTTTAGTGCCATATTCTATTTTTAAAACATTCGTCCTGCTTAAATCCAGTTACTGTGGCTTTATTTTGAGTGGCCCCAGTTTGGTTCGTCTACCGCCGTCAGATGCATTGAAAATTTCCCTGTGAGAACAGAACGAGGATACTGGATTTCCCTTTCATCAATACGTTTGCTGTGTAGAAGAAAGGCAGAACCTACTTAGTGAGTACAACCTGCCAGCACTGCTGTGTGTGTGTGTGTGTGTGTGTGCGCGCGCGTGCGTGTGGGTTTGCATGTGTATGAGTGTGCGTGCGTGTTTGCATGTGTGTGTTTGTGTGTGCGTTTACATGTGTGTGTGTGTGTGTGTGCATGTGGGTTTGCATGTGTATGAGTGTGTGCGCGTGTTTGCATGTGTGTGTGTGCGTGTGAGTGTGTGTGTGTGTGTGACCTGCTGTGTTAGCTTTTTTTATATTTATTTAAATAAAAAACCTGCACAAAACACCTAATTTTACTCAATAAATAATCCAGTTAAATAATTATTTTAAGAAAATTCTGATCAAACGAATTAAACTCAAACATTACATCAATATTTCTTTTATAGTTGTGATTTCTGAGTTTAAAATTATTATGATTATTATCATAATGTTCTCAAAATTTCTATTAAATAGTGAATTAAAAAAGGAATATTTTTTGTCTTTTCCTGAGGATTAGTCTTGGAAAGGGGAGTTGGGTCGTCTTATAATCAGGTCGTCATATATTCGGGTCAATACGGTACACTGAATGCAGCATGACATAAACAAACACAGACTCCAGAGGCGCCAAAGTGATTGCTGCTAGGACGCAGGATGAAGCGAAAAAGGCAAGCAACGATTACTGCATATTTTAAAAAGACCAACAATGTAAGTGGGCTGGACCTATCTGTTTGTTTAAGCATGTTGGTTATAGTTTCAGTACATTGCGTTGTCAGTGTTGGGACTTTTTCGTTATAAGCGCCAAAGTCATAATATTGCGACGAGCGTCATTGCTGACTTTAACAAGTCACATCTACAAATATGATCCCTCGTGAGGTTACTACGTTACACCAGAAGATATTGGAGATGTGTTACCTTCAGGCTGAGCAATGTTTTGGAGGCTCCCAGTCGGCGAGTGGAGGAGATGCGCACAGCATGAAAGAGGGCAAATATTAGAGATAAAACTAACAATTGCCGGCAGGTCTGGTCTTTGTTGACTGATCACTTTGTCTGGTAATGACTGACTGATTATGAAGCAGAATATTGACTCTGATGAAGAAATTCACTCATCCAGCTGGGACGATTGACGCTGCTGCAGAGTGCAGCATCAGACAGCTGGTGCTGCATGAGAGGTGTATGGAGCTTACAAGCTCCAAACGTTGGGTTTGATGTTTGTTTAACCTTCTTTGGGACGTGATGGATGTAGAAATGATGTTAAAAACACTGCTAATGTGACAGACGTAGCAACAATGTAAAAAAAAAAAAAAGCTGTAAAAAGGGACAGATGCTGATGTGTTATATATGGAAGTCAAAGTGTGCCACATAACCATAAAAACAAAAGTAACATATTTACTACATTACTATTTTTTTATTATTATTACTATAATAAAAATAATTTAGTAGTTCTCAAAGTTGGAGATGGGACCACACTTTGAGTAACAAACATGTAAGTCTTGAAATCCTCTTGGGAATAAAATGTAAATATTAGAAATGTAAATATCTCTAATGGCAATTAGACAGTGACTACTTTTTATAAACCAAAGCAAATTGATAGAAGCATAATATATTGGCTATTCATGTTGATTTGTTCCCCTTGTGCCACTTTTTCAACTAACTCCAAGCTTTTTTGTTTTACCAAGGTATCAAGATACCAAGAGTCGGGGTGACAGTCCTCATAAATTTTAATTTTGTTGGTCAGAGGCTGAAAAGTTTTGGAACCACTGCTCTAAGTGATAAGTGAATATATTTTATGTGCAGGTTTTTTACATAGACCTTTTTATGATTTTGGTGTTTGTGGTGAGAGGTCTTGGTCTGAATGGATCTGAGCCTCCTGCCAGATGGGAGCGAGCCAAAAAGACTGTGTTGAGGGTGACACGGGTCAGCTGTGATCTGACTTTCACGTCTCAATGTCCTGGAGGTGTACAGGTCCTGTATAGAGGGGAGTTTGTAGCCAATGACCTTCTTAGCATTGCGTACAACACGCTGCAGTTTCTTCTTGTCCCTGGTGGTAACTCCAGCGTACTACACGATGACTGAGGAGGTGAGGATGGACTCAATGACTGCAGTGTAGAACTGCCTCATCGACTGTACTGGCAGGTTGAATTTCTTCAGCTGCCTCAGGAAGTCCATCCTCTGCTGGGCCTTTTTTATGAAAGAGGTGATGGTGGTGCCTAGGAAGCGACATGAGTCCACCATCGTGATGGAAGTGTCAGACAGGGTTATGGGGGGAGTGGGGCTCTGTGATTCCTAAAGTCCAAAACAACCTCTGCTGTCTTCTGGGTGTTTAGCACCAGGTTGTCATGGCTGCACCAGGACACCAGCCGTTCAACCTCCATTCTGTAGGTAGACTCATCCCCATCAGAGATGACTATAATGATGGTGATGCCGTCTGCAAATTTGATAAGCTTGACAGACTTGTGGTTGGAGGTGCAGTCATTTACAACCCCGGGGCTGAATCGATCACCAGCGGAGTTTTCACCGGCCCATCACCGCCACCATTCCGACTCCGCTTTGTGCGTAAGCAAGCTTGATAAATGAGGCCCCTGGTCATTTTTGGTTCTTTCCTTGTGACTGCATGACATCAGCCTGGATCCTAACAATGAGCGTAACTTTGGGATAACACAACAATTAATTATTGAAGTCTGTGTTTGTGTGTGTGTGTGTGTGTGTGTGTGTGTGTGTGTGTGTGTGTGTGTGTGTGTGTATGTGTGTGTGGGGCTGGGTCTAAACATACCGTCACCTTTTCTAAGTCAGCTTCAGAAGATGTGGGAGACAGGGGGCTGATGGGACTGAGGGAGGGAGAACTTCCAATACTGGAGATGTAGCCAGGATCAGGAACGTACAGAACCTGCAAACACAAATAATGTCTGTATTTATATGGGAGCTGCCCTTGTGGAAACAAACTCAATCACACACACCTATCACACATACTTGAGGAGGCAAACATGAAATCAAATGAGAAGGACTGGGAAAGTGACAGCTACACTTGGTCATTAGTAGGGACTTCATGGAATAGAATAGGATAGAATAGAATAGAATATACTTTATTGATCCCACAAGTGGGGAAATTCACTTGTTACTGCAGCACAAAAAATTTGAGAATTGGAAGAAGAAAATTATTAACAAGATTACAGGTAAACACACAAATGCAATAAGCTAATATTGTAACCTTCAACCACTAAAAACAGAACTAGCAGTGTTTCCCTTACATAGACGCTGAAATCCCAGCGCCACGCCCACAAGATCTCAAGTTTTATTGATTTAATTAATGAATTTATTGTTTTGCGTTGTTTCCCGAAGAAGCAGCGGTAACTACTCTGTTGTTGCTTGTGATCACAGTCAGCAGGCAGCAAGGAGGAGGAGGCAGGGCAGGGTGGTTACAAATAGGGATGAGCGGATAAAGCATTTTTGATGAATACGAGCATTAAACGAGTAAAACTCGTAAATATCTGTAATCGTGCTGAAGGAAAATCCTCATTGGGTAACTGACTGTCTTCATGCTCTGTGATTGGCCAGTCACATAGAGCGCCCGCCCCTCCCTACACACAAAACTCTGCAGCTGGGAGCCCAGTCTGTCCGACCCCGGTCCGGCCCATCCGCGCACACACACAGACAGTAACGGATCTCTCTGTGCTTGCTTCACTGATGCTCACGTTTCTTCAGTACTCCTAGGTTTTCTTCAGCTCGCCTCTTTTTCGGTTGAATATTTAAAGTTACTTTTTTCGTAACGTACGTGGTGCATTTGACAAGACAGAGCTGAAAACGGCTCGTGCGTGCGTTGGTCACTGCCTCCGCTCCGGTTGGGTTTTTAAAATTATTTTAACTCTCTCTCTCTCCCTCTCTCACACACACACACCTTAATCAACATTTTTTTGTTTAACTGTGTGTGGGAAAAATGCCAACAATGTTGGGAAAAAATCAGTTTAATCAAATTAAAATAAAAATAAAAATTAAAAGTTGTGTCTGGTTCTAGTATTTCATATTTCCTAGTTCCTCCTGCATGAGTTCAGATGTATTCAGGAGTTGTTTACAACCAACTAAGCTAGTTTATTATTGTAACTTTCGTGCAGCATTAAAGGCACAGTCTGCAACATTTAAATGTAGAATAACTTTAAAAATGTTTGATTTTGACCACCTGACCCACTTTTATTAAAAAAAGTAAATAATCTTTAATATTTCAATTTTCTCCTAAGTCCCTCCCTTGCCCTGTAGAGCTCAGCCAATATTTCTGCAAGCCTAACCCCCAAATTCCACTACCTCCGCTCCGGTCCGCCCCCGCCTTCCGCAGCCGCTCGCTTCCGAACTCAATTTTTACTGCTACCCGCTCTACAACGGCTCCGCTCCGGTGCGGAGACCTGAGGTGGGCAAACAAGCATGCGCAGGATTTTCGAGATCTTGCGATACAGTCCGAGCAATAAACGCGGAAGTTAGATCCAAACACCCGTTGTGTGGGAGAAGCATCGGCATGAACTGTTTAATCTGCCCATCATTTGTGTAGAGAGATCAGCAGTGTTTGGATCAACAAAGTGTGACTACTTTGATAGTAGAAACTGTATTTATGGCTTACTTTTGTGCATTTTAACTTCAGCCGCCATTGATAGTTGTTAAAAGTTGTTAAACCTGTGCATATGAAACAAAAAACGCCTTTTGTTTATCGATTTATTGTGAAAAACGGAAATTGTGCTTGCTCCTTTTCCTGTTGGGCCGTTGTGATTTCTGTCCATTTACTGCGGAAGTGCTCCGGCGTCCGGCGAAAATAGGATTGATTCTATTTTTGCCGGACGCCGGAACAGAGGGCGGCGCACGGCGCCGCACTGCCGGAGCACGGCCACAGTAGTGGAATTGCTCTGATTGACTACAACGGGACCGATTTTGCTCCGGCGTTCGTGTCGGAGCGGAGGTAGTGGAATTTGGGGGTAACGCATTGACCAATAGCACTGCGTTTCCACCAGGGGGCAGCTGTCAATCATCGAGCACAAGCAGGTCTCAGCGTGCACAACAGTGTCACGCGCCTCACTCGGTTTACTGCAGAAACATGGAGCAACAAAACCCCAAATTACCGATTGCTCGACTGCCTTCCACATCTCAAAAAACATTGAAAAAGTTTAAACGCCCTTCTTCAAAAGTGGCTGTAAGACGTTTAAGACAGTCGAGTAGAATTTACATTGGAGATTGTTGTACACACGATGGAGAGATTTTCGTGATCTACACGGCCTGAAAACGGATGAAGAGTTGGCAAAGTATCTTTTAGACAGGCAAGTTATTTATTGTTTTTCAGATAAATTTACTTATAATCTTTCTTTCACTGAAAGAAGTAATAGAGCAAACAAGCTTTGTATGCATGGTGTCCTATTGGCTAATGTAGCATTAGCTTGAATGCTAAGTCGACATGAATCGATGCTAGTCGAACTATTTATGCTATATTTGGAAGAAGTTTGAGTAACGAAAGGGGATTTTAGGTTTTTTTTATATGGGAGCTAATGATTAGTGTGGCGTTTAACTATAGGCCACATCAGTATATTGTTTTAAGCTCTTGTTTATAACTTCCCCGTTAGCGGGGTTCAGTTAGCATCTTGAAAGCTGGATTAGGTGTTTACACTTTCCTGAGCTGCGTGTTTGATTAAAATGAGTAATCAGCAGCTCATGTAGCACTTGTAGAAGTCTGAGGAGATGATTCAGCAGTTAGAATTAGGTGTGATTGATCAGGAACGTATCCAAAACCTTACGTTTCCATTAGCACTGAAAGACATATTCTGCTAACCTGGGTGGGCCACGTGTACAGATTACAGTCTGAGTTTGTGGTCTTACCTACGTGAAAACTCCATATTAAAATAAAAGTAATGATAATCAGCTCGTGCAAAAATCTGTGAAGGCTGGGGAGACTTGTTTAGCTTGTGATCACTAATTTTTGGGCTTTGTTTTTTACAGTCATCAGTCCAAATATGAAGCATCAACATCTACACCATTGAAAAGCCAACTGTGTATTTCTCCAACACCAGTGCCAGCTCTGTCTAGCATTCATGGAGAATCATCTGAAAGGTAAATAGCTGCATAAAAACCTCTACCAGGAATATTACAATTTTGCCTCTGTTTGTTTTAAGTTAGTGGTGGATTATTTTGAAAAAATTCTAGAAATTGGATAATGAATGACTATAAAAAATGTATAGAAATAAATAGTAAAACTACATTTTATATAGCACCTCTCAAGATAAACTCTTGAGGCACTTCACAACAACAAAATTAAACATATTTTAAAAAATTATATTTTTATTTCAAAGTTTATGAGAAAAAAATAACAAAATTGTGTTTTTAAAATGTAAAGAGAGAGACAGGAAATTATTTGTAAAGAAGGAATTCAGTGGATACAGAGAAATGCGTAATAAGTAGAGTGAGAAAAATAAGGAGAGGGTGATGATGACGGCCAATAGACGAGGTCTATTACCTTCAAAATGACAAAATATGTATTGATTCTAATCATATTCTTGTGCTTGTATTTTATTTTCATAGGGATGATAATTTGGAGGAGGTGATGGAACAAGGTGAAACTAAAAAAGAAGGATCTTCACAAATGTAAGTACAAGGTTGTATCTGTATTTGGCTGTCACATTTGTCAGGAAAAGTAAACAATAATTACTTTTTTAGGTTATCTTGTGTGGGAATTGAAGCAAACATTGACGAGGAAGAGTTCAACAATATTCAAAACTCTGTGTAAGTATTCAGATGTTAATAAAATGTGTCTAATTTTCCATACTAAAAACTCTATATTGTGTATATTCAGGATAGTGTCATCAGATGACACATGGTCACCAAACAGAGAACCAGAAGTTGATTCGTCTTCAGAGGAGGACGAAACCATCGAGATGGACAGCGGTACTGATGACAGCGATGATGAGGACTACACACCTTATACACACATAAGGTAATTCTTTTCGTTTAACATTCTATAAAACTGCTGTTGGGGTTATTAGGATCGAACAATTAGTAAGCGTTAACTTACTTTTGGATTCTTCAATAAATTCTGTAAATATGGGAATATTTACTGATTTATTAATTAATTAAGATATTCTTAGATATCTCCGGGGCACCACCCTTTAATTAAAAAGGGAAATGAATCCAAAACCTTATCAGTCTTTCTTGAAGTTCGTAGAATCCTTGGAGCAGAGACTTCTCTTCGACACAACAAAGCTACTGGAGACGAAAATCTGAATTTTATAACGTTTAATTAACAATTTGTCAAATGAATAAACAGTGGCATAAATGAATAATAACCATGTGATATAATAAAAGGATGTATATTCAAAATAATGTTCAAGGTGTTTTGTGTGTATGTATGTGTGTGTGTGTGTTTCTAAAATGGAGTCTGTATACAAGATGGCTGACCCCTTTGTCTGGCTAAAGTGTGGGTGGCAACTTGCACTTTAACTTCCAAGGCACTTAGAATCAGAAGTAACTTAACCTTAAAATCACTCAAAACCTTTCAAAGGATCATGAAACAACACAAAAGATTAATCACAAGTTAATATCTTTTAGTTTCACCACTTGGCCATAGTAGGAAACATTTAAAGATATTCAAACAATGATAAATAAGCAGTTTATTCTTTCAAAATGACCCGACGGACGTGTTTGGGACGAAAGAGGAAAACACGAAGCTACTTTTTAAGCAATAGCGCGGTTTTATTGCTTATTCTGGACTATAGAGGAAACGGAAGAAGAAGGAGAGAAAGAGATGAGTTTCTGATCACCAGAAGAGCGAGGCGTCCCTCCCTCTTTCTTTTGACGGTTCTCCGTGTTTCTCCGCAGCTTTCGGCGTCGTCCGTCGGTTTGATGCTTTCTCCGTTGTTTGGCGTTCTCCGTGAGTGTTTCTCCACGGGCTGGACACAAAGAGAACGAAGTTTCTTTTGTGCTGAGTTTGACAACTTACAGCGTCTCTGAGAGCTGGATGGAGTTGTTGCTTTCCTCCGCAGTTCTGTGTCCTCAAACATCAGCTGGAGGGGAGCAGAAACGAGCAGATCTGATGGGCTTGCAGTTTAGTTTCCAGCAGTTCCATGGGCTCAACTTGGGCACTTAGAGCTTCCGCGTGCTCAAGGGAGTCGGAGCGTTCGACAAGCGTGTCCTTACCGCCAGGTATCCTGGGCAAAAGAACGAGGTTCCTTTGTCTTTCCTGATGATTTATAGTCTGAGTTCGCGGGAAAGCTCCGTGACTCCCGCACATGCACAGAATGTTTCTGGTATTAGGCGGTGACGTCATCACAATGCTTCCGTGTGCAAAGCATCATGGGAAATGAAGTTTCTTGGCGCTGATGTGATTATTTGCTTTTCAGAGCAATTTAAGCACAGTCATGTTGGAGAAAATCACTGCATAGTAATTTCCTCATGAGGTCAGACCCTCAACATTCCCCCTTTTGGTTTCGGGGATCGCGCCCAAAGCTCGATCGTCGGAAGCACAGATGGGTTTGTTCCTCATGAACGTAGGTCGACTTGATTGTCGGAAGCACAGGTGGGTTTGTCCCTTAGGACGTTGGTCTCCTTGGACGCCTTTGTCTTTGGTCTTTGTCTTTGTCTTGGATCCTGGTCAGGCACAAAACAAAAGAGGATAGGAAACGGGATAGTCCCCATTGCGCATAACGAGAAGAAGCCACTCACGCAGGTGGTACGCAATGATGATGTCGTCCATGCGAGAGGTAGTAGTGTAGAAGGAGGAAGATCGGTGGGCGGTTAACTCCACGAGGGGACACAAAGGCATCTCACCGCCGGCCATACAGTTCAGTTTATGGAGCACGCGGTGATGTACGAGGTCCATAGTTCGCAAACGCGCATTGACCTATGTGGTCCCAAGATTCCCCCCTTTTTGGTCCAAAGGGCGGATCAGGACAGTCTTTGGGCTAAAACAAGGACCATAAAACTAAGAGGTACTACAATGTACTGGTGCGTCAGACAGAGTCATTGACAGACTGAGCTGGGCCGGCACATAACCACTAGTTAATATGTGACCAAGTACGAAACAAAAATACAGAAACCCCCCCCCCCCAAAAAAAACATATAACATCCAAGAAAATTCATAGCAACCTTGAGGTCTCATAAAATACATTCTTAGGTCATACATTCAGTGTGTAGCTTATAAAGAATGTGACATACTGCAACACTCAGATAAATATGTAAGGTAGACTAAAATGAGAACTACTCTTAGGGTTACAGAATAAAGAAAATGTTGCTCACCCCCTTTAGACAGGTGTGGTACATTCACGCTTGGAGTCTCCCCGAACGCAGTTACGAGGCACACCGTAGGTGAGCAAGTACATCTTATCTTGGAGTTTCTTAACACGCCTGTAGGCGGAATAAGCCATCACGGCCGTGATGAGCCATCCCATCCCCAGGGCGACCAATGTGCAGATTAAGGTGGTATAACCTGTGTCTATGTAGCGTCTTGGGTATCTATTCATGGGCGTCAAAGTAAGTTCACGCGGGGTTTGTGTGAACTTAACAAATTTGGTTCCATCAATCAGTAATTGTTGGTCAATTTCTAAATCGAAGGCAAAGTTATAACCCTGGAAAGCGTCCATGATCTCAATCTCCGAGTCATGCTGTTCGAGGTTGAGATGATGGCGTGCCAGGTTTCTAGTTCAAAGTGGAAATGCCTACCGTCCTTTCAAACACCAAAGTTTAGCATCGACTTAAACCTATAGATGTGAGGTGTCACAATTATGGGAACATGTAACAGGAAACCGAGTTCTAATTTTCTGCATCAACGTGAATGGGAATTGCACTACTTAGGCTGTACGCTAGGTGGATTTGTGAAAGGTGCACAGTAGAGGGGTAGCAGCTGTCAAGCTAACTTTGAGCAGGTCCAGTGGTACCAAGTACGGGGAAATACGACTTTCAACCAAGCTGTCCAGCGTGGAACTTACTTCCCTGAGCAGGTCCTGCATCAAATCTCTCACCGCTCGTGTGTACACAATATCCTGATGTACGGTTTCAGACAAAGTCTTGATTGCACGTAGAGATTCATTAATCAGAGCCTAGTGTAGGTATCAGAGTACCCTGTAAGGTTTTAGTAAGTACTTCCTGTTAGAGGTCTAGGAGGAGTTTCTCTTGGTTAGTGAAAGGGACGGCGGGGGGGGGGGGGGGGGGGGGGGCTGGTTCTTTGTCGGTTAGTACATGTTAGTGGGTTAAACGTGCACTTTCCCCCTTTCCATTTCCATGCATAGAACTATGTGGAGACTACGTCTACCTCCTGCGGGGAGTCTGGTCTCTGTACCCGCAGGGATGGTTTGACGTAGGGTTTGATTTGGTTCGCATGCACCCATTTGTAGACAGGCTCCTGTCTCGCTTTGGTGATGCGTAACCTGTATGCAACTGGAGAGAGTTTTGCCACGATCTCAAATGGTCCCGACCAGCAGGGCAGGAACTTCTTAGCTTTGCGTGCCGGTTGGGCGAACCGAAAGTAGAATACTTTGTCACCCACCTCGTATTCGCGGCTGGTTGTCTTTTGGTCGTAGTAGGCTTTAGCGCCTTCTACGTTGGTCTCCAGTTTCTTCTGAGCGTGCGCGAACGTAGCTCTGAGGTGTGTCTTCAAGTCTGCCACATACTGATGAGCGGTATAGGCAGTGGCAACACTGACATCCTCTGGGTGATACAGGAGGTGCAGTGGTAGAGTCATCAGTCTGCCGGTCATCATCTCAAAGGGCGTAACCCCCGTGGATCGCTGGGGAGTGGACCGTATGGCCATCAGGACCAGAGGGAGCTTAACGTCCCAGTCCTTCCCAGTGGAGCAGACGTACTTTTTGAGCATGGAGACAACCGTGCGGTTCATCCGTTCGACCTGTCCGGATGACTGTGGGTGATAGGGAAGGTGGAATCTCACTTCCACTCCCAGAAGTTCAAACAGGGATGTCATTACACTGGATGTGAAATGAGTTCCCCGGTCAGAGTCAATGCAGAGTGGAAGTCCCCATCGACTGAAAACGTGGTTAATCAGCAGTACAGCGGTTGTGACGGCTGTATCGTTTGGCGCTGGAAGGCACTCAACCCACTTTGTGAAACTGCAAGTTACAGTTAGCATATATTTGTTTCCTCTTGCCGATTTGGGAACCGGTCCAACCCAGTCGATCTGCAGGTGGGACCAAGGGAAGGTTATTCCCCTGCGTTGCAGTGGTGCTCTAGCAAGCGGCTGGGAGGGTTGAAACTGGGCACAGATGAGGCAGCCTTGGACATAGCTGTGTACGTCCTTGGACATCGACGGCCAATATGCTACTTCTGTCAGTGACGCAAGGGTAGCTTTTGCTCCGCGGTGACCTCCAACCGGAGCGTCGTGGGCGTAGGCAAGCATTACTCCTCTGTGGTCGAGTGGAACAACCCAGCGCGGCGGGCTGTGATCGTCACGCATGTAAACTAACAAATCGTTTTGTAGTTTCAGGTGCGCGAGTTGACGATGCAGATTTACCAAATCTCGGCTTGCGCCAGTAGGTGGTGACGGTTGTTCAGGCATCGGGCCCTTTTGGAGAAGCTCGCGGATGAGCTTCAGGTCAGGATCTTGTTCCTGCATGGTGACTAGGTCCGCATCATGTGGTTGTCTGCCTAGAAACACGGGTACCCCAACGTTCTGAGGTTCGTCTGCCTGTTTAGCATGGCGACGAGTAATCGCGCAGACCTCGTGAACGGCCGTGGGTGGAAGCCACTCGTCTTTGAATTCCCAGCAGGTTCCCTGGTCAGCACCGAGCTTAGCAAGGCGGTCAGCTTCGTCATT